GGGCCGTTCCCCAAACACCTCGTGCGCCGCACGGGTACGGTCCGGCCTGTGTGCCAGACGTCGGGAAAGTCGCGTACGACGTGCGCTTGCAAGTATGGTCTAAACAAATCATTCATATAGCGCTGGAAAGTGGCTGGCGCGTTGGTTAGTCCAAAGGGCATCACTATAAACTCATAGTGCCCATATCTAGTCTGGAACGCAGTCTTGTACTGATCATCAGGATGGACTTCTATCTGATGGTATCCGGACTTCAAGTCTATCTTAGATAAATGCTTACAACCCTGCACCCGATCTAAGAGATCGTCTATCCTGGGCAGCGGCTCAGCATTCTTCATTGTGATAGCATTTCAACCCCTAAAGTCTATACACATTCTCAGCTCTCCTTCCTTCTTGGGGACAAACAAGACAGGTGCTCCAAAAGGAGACGAACTGGGCCTGATCCAACCTTTCTCGAGGAGCTCGTCTAACTGCTTGCGCAACTCCTTTAACTCTCTAGGGGACATCCTATAGACTTCTCCCTTAAGAGTTCTACTGTCAGGCTCTATCTCTATCCTGCGCTGGATGGGTCGCGGCACTACCCCTGTCGGAGACTCAGTCAAATCTTTGAATTCCTCCAGCAGCTTGGCTATGGTTGGATTTGTGGAACTATCCTCCTTCTTGGCCTCAGTGACAGGCCTAACATAAACTACAAAGACTTGTTCGTCTAACTGCTCCTTCTTCACTAATCGCGCGAACGAGGGAGCACTGAGACAACAATGTGCCAAGGTGTTGTCTACACCTGACACGTGGAACCTCGCCTGACGGGCCAGAAAGCCTACACTCATGCTCTCTCAAATGGAGTGTGGCCCCTGCTGCCTCTCCCCAATCCATTCCTAACACTACGTTGAAAGGAAGGTCATCCTGAACGAGGAGAGTCAGGGAATGGAGAACTTTCTCGACCTTCCCATCCTTCTCTAGGCGAAAATTCGCCTGGACTCCCTCTACATAGTCCTCAACACGCATAGTGCGGTTGTCTGCGAGGACACTGACTATGGGGTCTGCCAACTTCTGGACTTTTAATCGTAGCCTTAGCTTCGTCAACGCCCTACGGCTAATATAACTGCGAGTGGCCCCTGAGTCTATAAGGGCCCCTACTCTGCTTCTAAACACCTCTACATCTACCAAGATCAGCTGTCCTTTACTCTCCTTCTTCATTTTGGCCCAGGCTGGCATCCTCTCCTTTAACTCTTCTGCCACACCTGTGAGGGACGTGCCTAAAGAGACGCTAACACAAGCAGTCTCTAGACAACTATCTAGGCATGGGCCTGCAACCTCTGCCATAGGCTCATGTGGGTTGGGAGTGTCCTGTTCGCGCGCGCTCACTTCTCTACATGGCCTTAAAGTAGGGGCAGTTGAGACCCCTCCTGGCGGCTGCCGTTTGACTGTTGGGCAGCCCAACGGGCCTGTCTATACTTAGGACAAAATTTAATTACGTGGGTCGGGTCACCACAAAATATGCACAGACCCTGATCCACGTGGTCCTGCTATAACCGCTGGTCCAAGCCCAAGTCCTCCCAGGGCCTACCCTGCGGCAAGCCTGGGTGCCATCCTCCTTGCGGTGGCCTTCCAAGACGTCGCTGTGGGGACCGATTTGAACCGTGGTGATTTGGTGGGGGACCTTGACCCCTACCTCCCACTTGGCGGTTTCCTTGGCCGCCAACCCCCTGTGCGCCCGGTCCACGGCCTCCCATGGCCGGGCCCCTTTGGCCTTGGCCTCCTCCTCTAACGGGCGGCCTCCCTCCAGCTGCGACAGCAGCATAGGACCTCCCTTGCCCCACGCTACCGTCCTCCTCCTGTAGGCCCCACTCAATTTGACTGTATGGGACCTCGTCAGTACCACCTTCTTCTAAAGTAAGGATCATGTGATCCTTGGCCCTCACTTGGCCTGAGATGGTACGACCTTTCCACTTCTTCCCATTATCTAGGTCCTTATGCCAGAAAGTGGTAACTGGCGTGGACTTTGACTCATACAAGACTACCTCTCTGCTCAATGCATCATAAGTGATGCCGACCTGCTGAGACTTGTCAAAGAAATGCCCACGTAGGGGTTCTGGTATGGCACGATAAAATAGTTGGACCAGCTGGGGCTCAGTGACCCCGTCTGGGACGACTACTACCTCGTCCATGGTACCCTTGAGTGCTCTCGCACTCCACTGTCGCGAGTGGATCGTTTGCAACTTATCAGAGGCGCGAATGCCCCTCATTGGGTCAGCGAAGCGCTCCTTCAGGAGCTTGAAGAATTGAGGAAGAGGGGTCCCTGTAGAATATGCAACCATGTTGTTTTCACAACCGGCTGCGCGCGCAAGGGACCTAGCGAAACTGTCCGGCCTGGAAAGCGACGAGGACTTGCTCCTCAATCAGGATGTGCTGCAAATAGATGTAACTATTGACACTGGTCTCCCAGTTGTCAAAGTTTTCCTCCTTCTTTCCCTCGTACGCATCTGGGAACTTGAGCTTTACAGGCTCTTTACGGGGTTTGACCTCGCCCTCTACAGCGGCTATGGCTTTGGCGCCCTCGATAGCTGTTTGACTTCGCCCCCAATGTGGATGACGATCTCGCACGCAAAGTCTCTGAACCCTGACCGCATAGCACTCAAAGCTACGTCTTGGCTCCAGCTGGCCTGGTGCTCCTCCATCCAGGCTTGGCTCAACACCTCTAGGTACCCCAATACCTTATCCCACTTGGCCTTGTCATCTGGCTGGGCCAACACTTCCGCCCTACACTCCTGCACCTTTGCCACCTCTGCGGTCAACTTATTGACTTCCTCTCTCCTCCTCTTCTTCTCCTTCTTCATCCTCAACTTCCATGCCAATTTCGGCTCCTCCTCCCTTTCTCGCCGTTCCATAGGGTCTGTCATTGCGGCTAGCTCACTGGCTAGCGCTGCCCTCTCATCCTCAGTCACATAAGACTCTGCCTCCTCATCTGCTCCCAACGATAAATTAGCAACCCACTCGCTTATTCTCTTCTCCATTTCTGCGTCTGTGTCCCTCTTCGTGCCACTACCTCCTTCTCCACTCTCAATCCGCATTCTCTCTTTTGCTTCCTTTGTCGCCGCTTCTTCTTCAGCAGCCTTTTTCTTTTTCTCCATCTCATCCTCCAATTCCTTCATCTTCGCCGCCTGTTCCTCTGCAATTGCCTTTAACTTCGCTTGCTTCTCACGTTCTTTTCTCTCCCTATTCTCCTTAACTAAGGCGACCATCTTCTCTTGCTGCTCGGCGGTGTAGGGGCTAGTGCTCTTCCCACTACGCAGGTCCACCATGGTGATAGGTGCACAATCACAATGATTCCACTCCTCACCACGTAGACTCTAACCCCTGACTGACAAACCTACTGACTCAATCTAAGACTCACAGAATCCAGACAGGGATCCTGCCAACTATGGTCTCTAGCCTAGACCTAACTATGGCTATCACTACTAGACCTGTTGCTGATCAGGAGGCATTTAAGGAGATTCCCCAAACTCCTCAGGAATTATTTAACGTCGCAGACAGGACAACGCGATCAGCAGGTCTCTCAAGACTTAGACGGTCTGTTGTGCAGCCCACAGCTCGGATTTCGAGGCTTACCGTGTCACACCGAGCAGCCCGCCGGTCAGTACCGGTCCTTGGGAGGGTTTGACCTCCGGGACAGTCGAGTCGTCAGACACAGCTTTTAGCCCTACTCATCCCGTGTGGGTTTGGTCAACAAGACCCTATCCTTCATCCACAGAGTACTATCACCTAGGACAGAAGAGACTCGATGCAGAAAGAATAGACAGACAGACTTGACTCAGCAAGTACCAAGGGGTGTGTGCACATCCATAGGGCGAGGGATAGGCTGAAGACTTGGTGAGATGTTACCGGCTCCAGCTTGGTCAAAGTCTTGGTCAACGCTGCTATCAGCCCCCAGTCAACCTCCGGTCAGCTCCAACGCCTCCGGTCAACTCCTCTGGTCAACCCTTCGGTCAGCTATGGCTGCCGGCTTCTCCTTCCCTCACCAACCTCCTCCTTTGCTTTACCTTCCTCGCCTCCTTTCACCCCGCTGTCTTCTTCTTCTCTTTTTTTTTTTTTTTTTTTTGTTCACCTCTTCTTCTTTCTTCCTTCGGCTATGGCTTCCCTTACTCTTCTCGGTCTCCCCCTCTCTATCCTCTCTCTCTCTCCCTCCTTCGTTACTCCGTGATGATGCTCCGCGGCTATCGCCGCTTTCTTCCTCCTTCGTGGGACTGCACGACACGCTTCACAGGTAAGTGACAACCAAACTTATATCGCTCATCTCTCTCTCTCTCTCTCGCTCTCTCTCTCTCTCTCTCTCTCTCTCTCTCTCTCTC